ATAAATGTTGGCGTACGGTTTCTAAAATCTCGACCAACCATTGGGCAGTTGCGTGATATGGTGAATTACACAAATCGGCCTCAACGGAACATCTTTCTTGTGAACCTTAGGCAATCCATAAAGTCGCGGGATTGTGGTACCGCCGTATCCAACCGCCTAGCACGACCGTTGGAAAGAAGCCAATATACTTGAGTCTACCGTACAAAGGCGACCTGTTGGCGGACATAGTCAGTCGCCGCTTGTTTCAATCCTTACAACGCACGTTTCCGGCTGGAACTCTGCGGTCTCGGTTCACAACAAACCCTTTGCTCAACTTAAACCTCAAAGACAAGGTGCCAGTCCTCACCCAGAATATGGTTGTATATTCTTTCTCCTGCTGTTGTTCGGCGGAGTATGTTGGGCGCACGACACGGCAACTTTCTAAGAGAATACGTGAGCACCTTTCTTACCAGAATACCACTAACCTCAACAGTTCAGCCAGGAGCTCAATCGCATCCCACCTAAATGACACCGGGCACGTAGTCATGCCAAATGAGTCATTTCAAATCATTTACCGCGTGCCAAATCGACTACCAGTATCTATTCAACGACGTCGCTTGACAACGGCCGAGGCAGTCGCTATACGCCTGCGAAACCCGGTACTGTGCTGTCAAAAACGTTTCGTACGAACGCTGAGTCTGCCTTGGTCATGTGACACGAATCAACCGGCCAAGTCACTCAACAGCCCTCTTGACTCACAGACAGCATCCAACCAGATGCGAAATGGGGGGAGGCGCAATAAACTTTCTACCATCAGTGTTTTCGGAGCACTGTCCAAATCTGGTGAGAAGACCGGATCCGGAATGTTGAACTAGATCTCGTTGTTTTCGGAAGAACTAACTCGCTCATGACGGATGAACTGATCACACTCTATAGGTTGCGCTAGCTTAATAGTGCTCTCGTTAAGGCAGTTAATCGAATTTCTCGAAAATCCCTTTCCGCACAAGCACGCGAAGGGTGGAAACGATTCAGGAAAGGTCAAATAATGATTTGGGGGTGAAATGGCTCAGTGGATAGAGTGTGAATTCACTGACCGGAAGGTCCGTGGTTCGAACCCGACCTCTTCATCTCGACTTCTGTCTAGTCTTTGGCAACCTGGCAATATCTCAGCCCTCATGCTTCCTTTGGGTAACATGACAACTAGACGCCTTGGGATTGTTACAACTGAGCAATTATCGGTTATCTTATAAACGATGATTTGGCAGTGCAGTACGAAAATCTCTACCAGTAAAGTCAGCTACACTGTCATTGCCGTCACCCTGGATGGGGACTTCGGAACGGGACACCAATGGTTAGTGACATTATTAGAAACGGCCCATTAGCACCCTCAATGGCGCTCATGCACCCAAGCTTTTATCTTCAATCCATAGCTCCTCATCTCCCCACTGAAAAGTTCACTGACTCCTGTATTCACACAACCATGTCAGCTACCTCGCCTCTTCAAATCATCCGCGAATAAAACTGCGGCAGCTATAAACACCGTATGGCAAGTACGCGGTTTGTACATGTGCTGCTGCTGATGTTGATGACAGCTGACCGACTAAAAGAAACCTATATGAAGATTTACACTGAATAACCTACTCTTTGGGCACTCATCTAGAGACCACAGGTGAAGTAGAACCCTGGACGGTGAACGTGGAACCACCTACGGCCTCGGAGGTTTACGACTGCATATGTTCCCTCAAGCGCCACTGAGCTACCGGTCCGGATGACCTTCCACCCGCACTGTTCAAAGACGGGGGCGAAGTCCTCAGTCAGCGCTTGTCCGATCTGTTTGCTTGCATTTGGGAAAAGGAGTCTGTCTTAGACAACTGGGAGGAATCGGTGATAGTGCCCATTTTCAAAAAAAGGGGCGCATAGTGAGTGTGGTAACCACAGGGGGATCAGCTTGACCCCGGTTGTAACGAGACTGTTGGCGTCAATTGTGCTTCGTCGCCTTACGGTGGCT